TATAAAAATAAATTTACTATCGCTAATAGAAAATTAAATATTTTACTATTTTCTATAAGCGATAGTAAAAAAATAATTTTTAATAAATTTATTTTTATAAAAAAATTATAAATTTATTAAAAATAGTAAAAAAAAATTATTAAAGTGATAAAAATAGTAAAAATTTTAAGTGATAAAAAAGTTAAAAAAAAATTAATTATTTTACTATTTTCCATAAGTGTTAGTAAAAAAATAATTTTTTTTTACTATTTTTAATAATTTATTTTTATATTGATTATCGAAAATGATCACTAAAATAAATTTTTTATAAAAATAAATTTATTAAATAGTAAAAAAAAATATTTTTTTTACTATTTTTAAAAATTTCAGAAATTATATACTGTAAATACCACGCTATTCTTTGGGTGGGTGGGTGGAGGTTAATTCTTCTAAATGGTCATGTACCATTATATAAATTCTTGACCTTTTTTTTTCCATTTCGGGTCACGAAAATCTTCCCAAAAAAGAGTACTGTTGGCAAGTGATTGAACTTAAGAACTTACCAATACTCACCAATTGGGTGAAGGTATTTTGTGCCGTGACTTCACCGAAAAAGGAATAACAATAGGGTAAAATCTATACTATGATAATATGATAAATATTATTAATATAAATTTCTTGAAAGGTTGATCTTTCGAAATACCTCACGGCCGCAACATAGTGACTTCGATGTTACCTAGTGACCTGACATTTTAGGAGCCCGGTTAATTTAAGATAAGATTTAAAAATTATTTCTAGGCCTAATTTTTCTTCAATTATTTTAGCGGGTAGATTTTCCTTTTAAAATGGACGGTTTAAGGGATATTTTACATAATTTTGATGTAAATGCAAATCCCGAAGAATTTTTTTTTTTTAAAAAATATATTATGAATAAATTTATTCTTTATTATCGCCCTTAAAGTATTACACGTAAAACTTCTACACTCTCGCCTGTAAGTTTGGGTTGTTAAGTGTATAAAATATGTCCCGATGCAATGATTTCTTAGAATAATGTTTTAGAGATTTACATATCTTTAAAATTGTCCAATGATGCCAAATTTTATGCAAAAATGGAATGAGAACATCGATTTCTCCATAGTTGTATTTCTTATAAGATAAAGCTTCGAATAGGCATAAAGTTATAATTAATTATAAATACCCCCTCTTCATCCAATGAAATTTCATTAGAATTTCATATATGTGCATTGGAAATTTCCAAACTTTGACTATTGGATATAATAATTGGAGTTCCCAATATTTCAAATGCTTCAAACATTACATATTATTCTTTTTTTTTTTAATATTCCAGAATACTTAAACACAATGTCAAATTAATAAATTTTATAAATTTATAAAAAAAAATTTCACGATACCTATGTCATGGGCCTTAGGATAGAATCCCTTTGTATGTCAATAGGCAATTTCCCATTTTGCAATGAAATATTTAATATGGCGTCGTTTATTTTCACATGGATTTTCAACGAAATACATACATTCTTTAGAAACATTAGTTAAAAATTGTATTAGAGATTTAGTCACAAAGATGGAAGAACAAGGAATTGTTGTTAATATAGCAGATATACAGTTCTTGTATTAAATTTTAAATTTTTTTTTTATAGTTATATCACTTTTTTTTATATTATTTTTGTCAATTTTATAATTTATTTTAACTAGGACATCATGGTTGATACAATATTTGGTAAATATTTCAAGTCCTTTTCTTCAGAATATAATAGTTCATTTTATATATTTAAATTAGAATTTGTTGAAATGAGATGCATGATCCTTGTATGCATTTTTTTATCTCTTTCATTTCATATTATCTATTCACCTTATGACGTTAAATTAAGGTCTATCTTTTCCGATTCTGAGACCATTTTTAATTTGACAATGTATGTATATTCATTTTACATTTCTATTAACAATATTTTTTATATATATTAACTAATAGCATATAATGGGATTAATAAATGAGAGAAGGAATCTGGGTACTAAGAGAAATAATTTGTTAGATATCATGATTAGTTTGACTGAAGATAAGGAAAATGTAATGAATGATATCAAAGTTCAAGATCAATGCCTTGTCTATTTGTTATTTCAATTATTAGCATTAAAGGTTCATTAGATTTTATTAAATTTATTAGATTAATTAATTTTTATTTATTGCTTTAAAATATAGATTTGCAGGAACAGACTCATACAGTTTTACCACTAATATCATTGACAAAGAATCCTGAAAAAATGCAAAAAGCCATGATCTTCCAACACATGACAAATTGACCTTATCTTAATGCTGTAATTATGAGAATTTTATAGGTAATCATTAATATACATATTAAAATTTTATTTAACGGAAGGAATAATAAAAAATTAAGTGTTATTTTTGTACCTAACACAATTATCTGTTTATACTTACTTAGTCGTTAAGAAATATTTATTAATTTTTTATCTGATAATATATAATATAATTATATCATAAAATTAATAAAATCATCTTTTTTAATAATATTTGTAGGACCATTCCTAAAAAAAAGATACAGATAATATAAATATTCTTTACCTTCATTAAAAAATAGACTGAGATTAATTGTAGCACTTATGCAGTAAAACATTCTAAAGAATATCGGGGTAATGAGGTAGAAGAGTAGAAACCTGAAAGATGGTTAAAACCTGAAAAATTACCAAAGGATGCTTTTCTTCCATTTTCCGCTAATATTTATGTATCTCATGAATCTATTTTATATATATATATATATCTAAAGATTAGTTTATATAAATAATATTTTATTTATTAATGACATTCAGGGTCAAGAAATTGTATCGTAATGAAGTAAGTAATAATTATAAAAAATTTTATTTATCTTGTAATTGAAACTAATTTATCATCTATGTTTGCATATTTTTACTCCAAAGTCATGCATGGCAAACAATGTGCTTAATTCTTGGTACATTAATTCTTCGATGTAATTTTGAAGATATTACTTTAAAACTGAAGAATGATGAATATAAACTTAAAGTTACCGAGAAAAAATATTAAATCATTATTATATTAATCTAATTAGGGAGTAGTTTTATTTAATATATTATATTATAAGAGATTTGCATTAAATAAATTATCATTCAATTGTAAATTAGAGATATAAAACTTTCGAACATTTATCAAGAGAAGTTGGTTTATAATAGTTGATATGACCTTGAATATATATTAAATACGTATATTTTTATATGCATGCCATCCCTAAAATACCTCGAAATTATTTTGAAAAGTATTAAAATTTCAAAAACATCAACATCAACAAGGAACAAAAATAATATTAAATTAGTATTAGTATGTACAACAAAATTTTATGATTAATTATAAATTTCACGTACAATTTCTTTACAAATTCCATCATATCTCAAAAAAAAAAAACGAATACCATGATATTATAAGAGAATGGGAGTCCTGGATGGACCGTTTGATTATTGAAAATACTATTCGAAAAGAAAATATTTTATTTTATCAATATTCTGAATTGAGAATGTAAAATTAATTAGTTAAAATGTTTCTAAAGCTTTTTAAAAAAAAACCGTTGATTTAATAAATGAAGTATTTTTAATCAAAACAGATTCAAAGACATCGAAATTTATGATAACATTTTCATTCACATCTCAATAATAGGATGCTTGAATTATTCTCCAATAATTTCTTTCTTTTTTCTCCTTTGTACTTTTATTATATTTTATTTTTTTTGTCAATACCATTTCCTTTTTCTCATTTTAAAGACCTATCTATTCTTTCTGAATTTCCATATGCTTGTTTGTTTGTTAAAGTATTTCACAATTACTATCTGTATAAGTGTATTTCAGAATCTCTTGGAAGAATAGTGATTGATATTATGATAGCTAATAATTCGGCTCTGGTGGATGTAAAAAAATTCTATAAATATTATATAATATACAGTATGTATTATGCCCATTTAGACTTTTGACATAAATTTAGACTTTTACATATATTTATACATTCGAAAATTATTTAGACATATTGAAAGCCTAAATGTCGAATGTCGAAATATTTTGAGCTACCTATTAATCTGATTTGATTCCCTCTAGAGTTTGCTTATCATCTGTTTATAGATCTAGAATTTAATTTTCGATATATTGATTAATTCCTGGATAGTTCATAAATAAAATATTTTTACTCGATAATTTATTTTATAGCGCAAAATTTTTTCTATTCATTATTGCAATAATACTTTCAATAAAATAAAATGATTTAGTTAGTTAAGAGCGTTGATTAATAAGTAAAGGACTTTTTCGAACGATATTTCAAAATTTTTTTGAATGTATCAAAAAAATATTATACTTATTAATGATAACATATATAAATAAATACAAATATATATATATATCTATCTATAATATATAAACTAAGAAATTAAAAGATTATGGAAAAACAGTTCCATTCAATCTTGCTTCCTTCTTTTTCTTCCAAGTATCAATTATAATTTCTTTAACTTTTATTTCACCATCCTTCCAATTTTGTTTTGCTATTTTAATCAACAAATCAACATCTTCAGTTGAATAAGCGTACTTATATAAAGTGGAAAAATCAATAGCTGGTTCAAATGTTGGATCAACTTTATTGTTGGGTAAATATTTCAATAAACAAAATACGAATTGTTTTTGAGCTGGAGATAAATATTCATCATCAGTTTTACCAGTTGGTATATAATCAAAAACTTCACAATATTTGTTAGTTTCATCTCGCATAATTCTATTAAATCCTCGGCGAGCACAAAATTTATCTTGTTCCATTTCAAAATTTTCAGGATCAGCGGGATTAGATGAACAATCAAGTCCAATTACTACATCAATTTTTCGATTTGGATGAGAAATTGGATACATAGGAAAATTATTGACTGATCCACCATCTTGAAGACCAAGTACTTCATTATTGGTATGACCAAGTTTATATGGTGGTGGTTTAACACGATGAGCGAAATTATGATTATGAGGAGGTGAAATGGGATGAGAGCCTTCAACTACTTGTCGATTATTTCCAAGTGATTTGAGGACCTAAATAAAAATAATATATATATATATATATAATATTTATTAAATAATAATTCTATTAAATAGTTAATTACGTACATTTTCGTATACAGATTTACAATATTCTTTAATTTTTCCTTCGGGAAGGAATGTTCCAATTTCTTTAATATGGTGTTCAACTGAGACAGCTGGTGCAGAACAAAATAATCTAAAATAATAAATATAATATATAAGTAATACAAATCAATAATTAAATAATTAAATATGATTATCAACTAGAAAATAATCTTTTAACTAACCCCATTAATAAACCAAAGTTTTGTTCAGGAAACCGTTCAACAGTTTTTCCAGATTTAAATTTTCTACCAAATGCCCAAGAAGGAATCCATGCTTTTTTTTTAAAAAAAAAAAAAAATAATAATAAAGAAAATTAATTTTTTATTTATTAATGAGTTAAATATTAAATTCTACAGAAATATCAATGAAAATACTAATGAAATACTTGCTAACCTGGAAGTTCTTCAGATCCAACTTCATAAGGACTAAACTCATACCATTGAAAATAATCTTTCTTCAATTTATGTGCTGCACAAACTTGATCATAATTTGGAATCAATGATGCCTCCTCTGGTTCAAGATTATCTTTCCATGGACGAATGTGAGAAACTCTGTATTTTAAATATATAATATATATATAAATATATGAATAGATATTGGATATTATATTTAAGATGTTATATAAAGTACAGTATTTTGATAAATTTGACTTACACAGCATAAAGAGGCATAGGACCTTTTCCACCTTCAATATATTTTTGTTGTTCGCTTAATTTAAAATCCCCAAGTTGATTTGTGGGATCAGTTCCGATCATAAGTTTAGCTGCCAATGAAGCACCAAAAATATCCATCATTGATAATTCTATCCCAGAAGCTTTTTTTTGAATTAACGAACCAAATGATAATCCAACAGCAATTCTTGGATCAGAAGTATCAGCAAGTCTTTGTAAAATAGCAAGAACATTCATAAAACTAGTGGAAAGGTTAGTTCTATAAAATTCCAATAATGTTTGAATTGGATTCTCGGTTGATTGACATCTTGATGAAAACAGTTGAGCCAGACATAAACAACTACCACTGAGACCTAATAAAAAAAAAAATAAAGAGTAATAATTATAATAAAGAAAGAATAGATAAAATATATTTCTACACTTTCATACCTGCAATGTACATTCCACAATCATAAAGCCCGGATTCTTTCATAGCACTAAGATAAGCTGAAATAAAATTAAATATAATTATTAAATAATAATAATAATTAATAACAACAACAATAATTTAAATAATTTAGAATTACCGACAACTCCAATCACAGCTCTAAATCCTCCACCACTTCCCATAAATGCCATTACTGGAATATCCTCCTCATGAATTTCACTAACATCAACTCCAACATATTTGGCAAATGATTCGCGGATAACTTGCTTTCTATCTTTTATAAATTTTAATTCTTGTTCACATATATCAATAGAAGCTCTGTAAATTATTGACAATACGTTAGTTAATAATAAAGAGATAACGGATAATGAAGAACTACCCCAAGATTTTCTATGTAAGTGACAAATATCGGTTGATGAATAAGATGTTTATAAGAAAAAAATTCTGTCCTGGGGGTATTTACTGTATAAAAATCGATATTTGATGGGCGTGATAAATATCCTATGCATCTATATAACACCCCTGGAATTTGTTCATTTATACGTAGAAAAATCTTGGGGTAGTTAAATAAAGTGATAATAACGTGTGTGTTTGGTGACAGATAATAAAGTGATGATAATGCAAATAATAAAATAGTAATCGAAACCTCACAGACGCATCCCATTCAAGCTCAGGATAAAGAGTAGTATCAGTTAATCTCGGTAGAACAATATTATTCAAATCTTTGAAAGCCAAAAGTACATCAACAATTTTTACACCTTTTTGAAAACTATTTGCAAACGTATCTTTGATCATTGTAAACCATGAAGTTCTAAAAAGTTGAAAACAAAATATGAATACATAAATGAACTTTTGTTGAAATTTTATAATCCTATTTTTTTTAAAAAAAATTTTACCTTTTTGTAGTAGGGGATTGCGACATTTTCTAAATTAGGAAAGGCCTTAAATTATTTTAATAATAATATTTAATATTTAATATTTAATTTGATTCTTAAAGAACTGGAGTTTTTTTCCTCGCTATGCCATGGTCTTTAAATATACAAACTGTAGTTGAACTTAATGTAATATTTTAAATATTTTAAGTATTTGATTGAAGTATTAAATTTATTTACTTATAAGTAAATTTTTGAATGAATTTTTTTGTTTTTTGTGAGTCGGTTTACGGCATATGTCCCATCTTTCCATCCTGTGAGATATCAAAGAAATAAATTTGGCTATCTGATGCAAGAACAAATTCTTCTGTACTACATACATGTTGCTGATATGTAATAATTCACATTTATTTAAAAACGAAGTAGATGCTACATATAAAACTTCTTTAACTTTAATTAATATCGAGTTTGAGATTTATTAGTTCGATTTGTACTAAAATTTTGTTAGTGTAGTGTACGAGAAAAAATTTATATATCGGTTATTAGCAATCAGTTATAAATCAAAAAAAAAAAAAAACTTTGATTACATATCGCTCAATTTAAAGAAAAAAAAATATTCATTAAAAAAATTTATATTATGCAAATATTTGACTAATTTTACTTTAATAGAAAATCGTTAAGTCGAATAAAATACTCGATTATGAAGGTACTACGTTTCACGATTAAACATACGGATTTATTTTTTATTTTATATAGACTTTTTGGCTGTCTATATTTTGGACTATGTCGGTAGCATTGGCTTTGACAGCCAAAGAAGCATTAACTTTCAATGCCGCTAGCAAATTACATTGTATACAAATATTTTGACTTTAACAGAAAATTATTAAGTTGAATAAAATACTCGATTAGGAAGGTACTACGTTTCACGATTAAAAGAAGGATTTATTTTTTTGATTCATACATATAAATATCTATTGTCACAAATTTCGCCTATCAGTCTCACACAAATTAATTTTTTAATACGCTCTATCTGCCAGTAGGTCAAGCAATCCGTCGATCTAAACTTGCCTATCTCGAAACAGATAATAAATATAATATAATTCTTTTTAATTCTTTTTAATTCTTTATTTTTAATCTGAAGGCTCAGTGAGTAAAAGTGTTAACACAGTATCAAATAATATTTAACAATATTTCGCGATATCATAACACAAAAGATAAGTTTATTAAAATATAAAATGTACAAATTTAAAAGTAAAGTATCATTAAACAACAGAAATATTACAGGTTACGTGTCTATTTTACCGTCCCTAAAGTAAGTTTACTTTTCTATCTAGTAATATTAATGGTCGAAACTATCCGTGATTATTAATTAACTGAAGTCTAAGAAACTACTAAGACTAATGTTTTCCATCTCCAACGACCACTTCTTTTATTCTTTTTCACCTTCATTCAAATTTTACCCGTATCCTTTGTACTTCATCCTTCATCCTCGTACGTTATCTTCGGATGACAACACAAGTTATTATCCTCGTACAATCATCTTAGTGTTACCATTTATCATCCCCCGTGATAATCCGCGTGCTTACAAAATTATTTCGCCACACGCATTAAACTTCTTTAAAGTCTTGTAATATTACTGTTATTTTTCAATTCGATTTTTTCTTTTCAAAAAATGAAATTTTTGCATATACCTTTTGGTAATATTACTACTACGATTATTTCTCAATTCGAATTTTCTTTTGAAAAACGAAATTCTTTCACTTAAGTTTTGATAAAATCATCATAATATCATTGGTAGTCTATGTTTCTTGGTTATCTTAAGTGTGAGTGTAATTAATTGCAAATAACTAAAAAGCAATTATGTAATTAATATTATAATTTTAATATTAGAATTTGAAAATGCATTCTTTGACGCACTTGCCAAAGTTCCAGGACCAAAATTCTTAGCACTCAGTAGGATTTATACGATCCTACTCATGTTTAAAATGTTTAAAGACATGTTTATAAATAAATAAAAATGATTTTTTTGTATTTTATAATATTTATAAATTATCACGTGACAATGTCGAGCACACTGGTAATAATTTAAAATATTTATATTTATATTTGTATCGTTATATCAAATAGATTTTGGTAACTGAAGTATTCAGAAAATAATGGAAATAATGTTGTTTGATTATTAAATAAATGCATTTATTAAATCATGTTTTGGTTATTATTATTGTAAAAATTAACTAAGAGTCATGTATGAAGATTTATGCGCTGATGAATAACTAGAAAAACATTGGTTTCAACAACGTAATTATAATTTTACTTTTAATATTGTAATTGATTTTTCTAAATATAACATTTAATTTTTTAATTTTTTTTTTTTTTGCATACATTATTTATTTTAGTGACGTTGCAAGTGGCAAGAAATGGTAAAGTCTTTATTATTATGGATTACGAGATTAATAATAATATAATTTTATTGGTTATTTACATTATAAATAATTGTTTTATCATATTTATCCATATTTATCGTTTGTTTTCAACGAAATACATACATTCTTTAGTAAAATATTCTATTAGAGATTTAGTCACAAAGATTGAAGAAGATATAGTTTATATCACATTTATTATTTAATTTATTTATTTTTAACTGTGATACAATATTTGGTAGTCCTTTTCTTCGATATAATAGTTCATTTAATGTATTTAAATTATAGTTTGCCGAAATGAGACGCATGATCTTTGTATGTATTTTATATTTATTTTTTATTTTATTTTATTTTATTTTTAATTTATTTTAATTTATTTTATTTTATTTTTATTTTATTATTATTTTATTTTATTTTTATTTTATTTTGTTTTGTTTAATTTTATTTTATTTTTATTTTATTTTATTTTTTATTTTAATTTTATTTTATTTTTTATTTTTTATCTTTTTTTGAAAATAATTCCAATTTATATTAACTATTCATCTTTATTATGTTAAATTAAGGTTTATCTTTTTCCGATTCTAAGACCATTTTTAAAAAAGAGTTCAGTCATTTAACAATGTATATTCGATTCAATTATTTTCATTTTATATTTTATATTTCTATTAACAAAATTTTTATATATTAACTAATAGTTTACAATGGGATCAATAAATGAACGAAGCTGGATACTAAGAGAAGTGATTTGTTAGATATCATGATTAGTTTGACTGAAGATAAGGTAAATGCAACGAATGATGTTAAGTTCAAGATCAATGCCTTGAATTCTTGTTAGTCACTTTAATATTTCAAGAATTAAAAGGAATTTATTAATTTTTAGATTTGCAGGAACAGTTTTACACCACATTTGCGCTAATATCATTGGTAAAGCATTCTGAAAAAATGCAAAAAAACCATCAAAGAGCCTATAAATAATATTATTTTTTTTTATTTATTTTTTCTACTATTTATCTTTATAAAAGAACAAGAAGCTAAGATTAATAAAATCTCCGATTAAATCCATATTTAATATTGCACACTTGTGGAGCAGATTTTTTGGTTTCTAAAACGGGAGGTTAGATTTCTGTGCAAGTTATTTATGTGATCGTAGATCCAATAAATCAAAATCTAGAATTTTTTTCTATTTGCCGAATGCTGGAATTCAAAAAAAATATTAATAATAGGATTAATTAATATTTTCTTTTTGAATTTGGGACATCTATTTTATTTTTTTTTATTTCGGATAGAAATGCCCGAACTTGCTAAACGCCGCCAAAAACGAATATTAGTAGTTAGTATTTTTAGTATTTATGGTATTTATAATAATATTAAACGATGCCGCCACGCCGAAATAATATTTTTGAATGATATTTTAATGAGGTAATATTACAATTTATTAGTAAACATCTTTTTTTATTTCGATTACATAATATAAATGCCCCCCCCCCCGAACGGCCAAAACGATATATTAGTAGTTAATATTTATAATATTTATAAATAGTAATTAGATCTAATTTTTTTTAAAGTTTTAAATGATACTTTGAATTATACTTTAATGAGGGTAATATTATGATTCATAAATGAAATAGACTTTTTTATTTTTTTTTTTTTAATAATATATTTATATGTAAACATCTCAAATTATACAGGATATATTACAAAGACAAATTTTAAATTTTGCATTAAAAAAATTGAAGATCCGTGTGTCAAAAATGAAGATAGTAAAACGAAAAGATATACCTGAGACGGCATAGTTTCTTCGAGTGGTGTTTCTAATGCACGTGATTGTGTTGCCTCTTCTCCACTGTTGGGCAATTTTTTCTGCGGTTAGAAATATGGGTCATTTAATATGTGATAAGGTTAATTTTTTTAAAGTTGTAAGTGTATAATAGAAATCTGGGTTTCGTGAGACATCATTTACATCACATTGGATAATTTATTTTTAGAAATAAATAGTAGACAATAAGAATTTTTACTTATTATAGAAAATTTAATCAATGTATAATAAAACTATAATAAAACATAATTAAAGGAAATTATTTTATTAATGTACCAACACAATACTTTTTTTTTTCATCTTTAGTAGTACCGATTCCAAAGAAATAACAATTTGCAAGACTATATTGTCCACCACTATTTCCCTTTCGGCTGACTTTATATACCATTGAAATGCTTTCTCATCATCTTTTGTAGTTCCAATACCAAGGAGATACAATAACCAATTTTATTCTGTCATAAGTATTTCCTTCTTCATTTGATTTCAAGTATCAGTGAAATATTTTTTCTTCATCTTTTGTTTTTTTTTTAATTTCTGATTCAAAATAATTTCTAAGTAAAGTCTGTGCATCTCTATTTCCCCTTCAGCTGATTTCATGTGCCATTGAAATGCTTTCTTTTCATATTTTGCAATTCAAATTCCATTACGATAGCAATTACCAAATAACTCTGTCCATTTCCCCTTCAGCTGATTCCAAGTATCATTGAAATGCTTTCTTTTTTCTTTTGTAGTTTCAATTCCATTACGATAGCAATTATCAAGATTGTTCTGTCCTGTGATATTTCCACCTTCAGCTGATTTCGTGTACCATTGAAATGCTTTCATTTCATCTTTTATAATTCCAATCCCACATTAATAACAATAACCAAGATCTTCATCTTTTATAGTAATGACATCCACTAAGATAATTCTGTCCCACATGGTTCGAGAAAAATAATAATAATATATTATTATACAGTACATAAATGCTTGTTTTAAGCAAAATAATATTCCTATGGTTAAAATGTTTTTATTTAGTAGATTATAATATAAAAACACGAGATTTCAAATTCATACAATGTTAATTTTGATAATATCGAGTTTATCTCGATTGCTTCATAATTATCGGTATCATATTAGTTCGTAAATTTTGATGGTTTACTATTTATTCAGTTTTTATACCGACATGAAATGTGTAATTTAGTATAATAAATATTTCAAGTCAAGATATTTCAATATAAATATTACATGGGTTAAAGAAGATATGTATAAATAAAATATATTTGATGGGTTTAACAAAAATATTTAAATCTCGATTTATTTACTTATTTACTAGAGTTATTACGGCAATTATGTGATCTAACTAGAATAAGATTTGATAATATTCTTTAAATAAATTATTTCTATAAAATAAACTGGTAATGAGTCTTGTATTTTCAGAAATATTACTTTATTTTGATCAGAAATTTTGATTTTTAATGAAAATAATATTTTTTATTCAATAAATTTAAAAATACTATTTATTAGTACATTATAAATATATTATTAGGCTAAAATTAATAAATGAATTCTTTTTCATATTTTAGTCAACAAGAAATCATTACATTTGATATCAATAAAATTTAAATTTCTAGAAATCTGCAATTTAGAAGTTTCTTCGCACATTCGTAATACTTTTGTGTTATTCAAGTCTGCAATAGATTCTTCATATTTTCCCATTCTGAAATAAGCAAGCACCTCCCCTACTTATCAACACATTTATATTATTAGGTTCAATTTCTAATGCTCTACTTGAATATGCAATAAATTCTTCATATTTGCCCATTCTTTTGTAAGCTTTTCCCCTATTTATCAACACTTTTACATTATTAGGTTCAATTTCTAAAACATTATTTAAATCTGCAATAGATTCTTTATACAACGCATTTTTAGATAAAATTCTCCTCGAATTTTTATTGCATCTTTATTACTTTTTTCATTTCTATCGATTTTTAATTGCTTTTTCAAAACAGTAAAAAACTCTTCTTCAACAGTTAATATATCCAGATTTTTTT